ATTATGGCCTGTTCCAGCCATTACGGAGCTAGGTAGCACAGAAGTTTTGGTTTTCCTGGCCAGCCTTCGCGACACAACTTCAGCAAGGCTTGACAAACAACGTCCGTTTTTTGAGCATCACGTTTAACAAAATTGTCGCCCGTTCGAAGCCCTTGAACACAAGATTTAACAAATGACAAGTCTTCCGAGACGGTCAGTTCACCGGCGAGTTTATCTGCTTTCATCGGCGCTCGTGAAAGAGCGTCCGCCGTAATCAAGCTTTTGCCGGGAAAGTACACAATTTCAAATTGATACCGCATCAACCGCATTCTGAAGCGCTGCACTCTTGGCCTCAACAAATCGATAGGCATTTTACTGAGCAACGAGACAAGAGGTTTGTGGTCTGTTTCGAACGTTACATCGATACCTCGCATATATTCGTCAAATCTTTCAGCAGCCCATGTTAATGCTAGTGCCTCCTTTTCAACTTGCGCATAGCGCTGCTCGGTTTTGGTCAATGACCTTGAAGGGAACGCTATCGAGCGGTGCTCACCATTACGTTTTTAAAAAAGGAAGGCCCCGAGACCAAACGAGGAGGCATCCACCGAAAGTATGGTGGGAAGTTGTGGATCGTACATGGCCATACACTTTGCCTCGCAGGTAAGAGCTTTTAAGCTATCGAAAGCTGCGTTCTGAGATGGACCCCAAACCCATTCAGTCTCTTTCTGCAAAAGCGCGCGTAGTGGGGCAGTGGTTTGCGCTAAGTTCGGCGAAAAGCCGCCTAGGTGATTGGCCATGCCGAGAACACCGCGCAATCATGAAATATTCGAGGACGGATTCAGCTCTTCAATGGCTCCGAGTTTAGCCAGATTAGCCTGTATGCCTTCTTCACTTAGAAAGTGACCCGAAAAGCTCATGCTTCGTGCTCCAAATACACACTTCGCTTTGTTAAGCGTAACGTTAGACTGGACCAACCTAGCCAAGACATTCAATAGCCTAGAATCATGTTGCTCTTTGCTGTCGCCAAATATGAGAATATCGTTCATCAGGTTAACGACACCAGGAAGGCCTGCCAGGATTTCAGACATTCTCCTTTGCAAGTACTCTGAGGCTGAAACAATACCAAACGGCAACCGAGTGAAACAGTACGGCCCAAACGGCGTAATGAACGTGGTCAGTAGTTCTGAGGCTTTGCTGAGTCGCACCTGGTGGAATCCAGAATTCGCGTCTAGTTTGGAAAATTATTTCGCGCCGGCAAGTGAGCCTAGTGCTTGGTTTACAGTAGACAATGTATACCTTTCTCTTAGGACAAACTTGTTCAACTGCGAAAGGTCAACACAGATCCTTACGTCTCCCGAGGGCTTTTGTTCCCGTACCCTCGGGATCCTTACGTCTCCCGAGGGTACGGGAACAACGCCGGCACACCATTCGATTGGATCTTTGACTGCCCGAATTACGCCCCTTTTTTCCATCTTATCCAGTTCCCGCTTCACAGGTTCCTGAAGCATTAGAGGAATCCTGCGTGGTGCACTTACTGCAAATGGAACTGCGTCTGGTTTTAGTTTGATTGTATACTCCCCGGGCATACAGCCCAAGTCGTCAAAAACCTGAGGGCACGAAACCTCATAGTCAGACTTTTTCTCAGCGACAGAGTCAGCAAACTTAATTACTCCTAATGCTTCCAGAGCTGGCAAACCTAGCATTAAATGGCGCAAAGGACTGGCGACATAACATGTTTGGCAGGAAGTTTGTCCCTTCCAAACTACATCTGCCTGAAACTTGCCCAGAACATTTAGTCGGGCTCAGCTAGCACCTGTCAAGATGTCGTCGGCCTGTTCTGAGCTTGTGGGAAGTCCAGGAAACGATGCTGGAATTACGAACACTTCTGCCCCCGAGTCAACCTTTGCGAAAAGAGGCACTGCATTAACCAATACCTGAACGTAACGTGCCTTGGCGCCGGGCGCCTCTACTGCGCCTATAAAAATTTCCCCAATGTCTTTTTGTACGGACGACACTCGTAGCTTTCGCTTGTTGCTTGGAGAAGTCCCTTTGAGACACACCTTTCCAAAGTGTCCCTTTACGCCGCAGTTAAAGCACTTCTGTGCTCTAGCTGGACAGTCTGTCCTAGGGTGGGAGTGGTTGCCGCAGAAGATGCACCGTCTTTCGTAACGAACTGCTGGCGGCCAAGTGTCCTCACTGCGGCGCGGTTTCGTGCGGTGACCCACTGCGTCGACATTGACTTCTTCCCATGAATTGGACTGAGTGCTGTCGCGAACTTCGTTGGAGTTGCGAAGCTCTGCTTGTTGCTGCTGAACTGTCTCTTTCAGGCGGGCCTTCGCTAAAGCGGTCGCGAGAGATAGCTTCGGGTCCATTTGGAGCGACTTGGAAAATTTTTCGTTCCGCAGGCCAACGGCGAACCGGTCTCAAATGAGGCGCTGCTTGAATTCTCCGAAGTCGCATTTTTCCGCCAAGATGTGTTGAGCCGTCATGAACTGGTCAATAGACTCGCCCGGCATGTGGTGCTGCTTGTGAAAGCAAGCGCACCAGAACTTCTTTTTGACCAGCTCAAACTTCTTCGATTCTTCTGGAGAGAGATCGAAGGTAACGAAGATGTCCCTTGCTTGCCGCCCCACGGTGTACAGCAGAGTCCACACTTGCACCTCCTCAGAGCGCTTATTCAGGCGCGACGCATATCGATAGTCGTCGAAGTGTTGTATCCATGCCGGCCACTCCGAGGTAGTGTCAAAGTCCAACGCCGATGGTTGCTGAAGGCCCGGCAGAGGTGGCGGTGGTTCAGTGGCCATTGCAGCCTCTGTTTGTGCCGACGTCTCGATGGCTCTTTTTTTTTTTTTTCGATGGCGTTAAAGGTGGGCGGAACACATAACTTCTGACACCATGTCGTAGTGGCGCCCGCCGCTATCAGTCGGTGATCAGTGAAAAAAAGGAGGAGACGGCAGTCTAGGCGATAGGCAAACAAGAAAAGCCCCGCCGTTTATTTTGCAGCGATTTAAGTAGCAACTCTGACGTCAGTACCATGTGTTTCCATACATGGGCCCGGCACGGTGTATCGGCGCGTCATGTAGGAGCGGGCTTTGAACACACGGGAGACACATTCCGGCACAAAATGGACTTGCCTTCTTCACGGCTGCAACAAAAACACAAGTCCGCTCGTCAAAACATAGGCTCCAGCACTCCTAGCTTCTTTCGATTACTGGATGCAGGTTTCTATCTTCTGCTCCTTGCCTTTCTTTTGGATCTTGACTCCACATACGACGGCCTGAGATTTACTGAATCAGATTCTGATTCGGTACTTGAGCAACGATTCGGAGCAACTGCCGCTAGGCTAACTGGCGGTAAAGAAAACCAGCATGCACTTCCACAGCGAAAGCTTTGACACATGTTCTTCCAAAACCTCACCATCGAAGAAAAAAAGAAAAGTTCTCCCCATGAAAGTTTGGATTCCAATCCCCAGAAAGAAGGATGGCATCAAGCTTCTGCCAATACGACCATACGATGGCAAGTGAGTATGCGGAGAGAACTGAAGAACAAAGAGGTATGGCATGAGTACTCCTTCATGTTCGTCCTGAAGACAAGCTGCTGGTGATTGTGGAGATTGGAAACATGACTCAATGTCTCACGAGTGACCATGACTTCACAAGACAAGGAGGCTCCATCTCTGTTTTCAGCATATTAAAATGTTAATTCACCAGCAAGGCAAGCTTTTCGTATGGCTATGGACACAATGTCCTTTACACAAGGACCCCTTTCTGATGCGCACTGGTCACAGTGGCATCTGTAATGCAACTGTCATTTTAATGCAACTGAATTTTATTGTATATGTGCTGTAGATAAAGTGTGCCTGAGTAGTGCGTGAATTATAAAATTTCGTTTGCACAATATCAAAGTTATACGATTACTTTGGAAACCAATAGTAATACAACCTCATTACTTTTGGCCAGCTGTATTTTGACATATCATTTTTATAAATATTGAAAACTGAGAAAAGTAATGAGCAACGTAATTTATGTACCTTTTAGGAGCTTTTACCATCTCCAAAGTGTGCATTGCACTTACAATAGCGCTATGTCATATGCTTCGTCAACCAGAGAGCTGAGATACTCATCATTTTCGTTTCTTTCCAACAAAGTAAACCGCAGCGTACGCTTTCCCTTTGTTAAGCAGACCCACTCAGTACCACTACCTCATTCCCTAACGCCAATCTTCGCAAGGACTGACACTTTTCGCTGCCCATTTTTCTCACAAACGATAGCAGATTGGAATAAACTAACGGAAGCATTCCCCGAGCACCCATGACCATTTGTGCGGCAGTTGTTCTTTTGTAGATTCCTTATGATTGTATTATGACCAAGTTTTTTATCTTTCCGTCTTATAACCAAAATCATGTTGTAAAGGCCACTTTTCAACCTTGCATTCTGTTATTGGTATGTACTTTTGCTCACCCTGCTTGGACTTTTTGTCCGCAGTATATTATAAATAAATAAATAGAATCATGATTGAGTTGCGAGTGATGAGTCGTACTGGAATATTCACTGGTGGCCACTGTCGGGCCTTTACGGTTTCGCAATGCTTACCGTAACATAGTGGCAACTCAGCACTCACACCGAAGTCTGAATCATTAGTTTCTCAGTTTCCACACCTACTTCTGTAACTGTAACAATCCACGGCAACCATGCAGAGAACCCAAAGCATGATCCATTTATTCTTCTGCTTCATTTTTCGCTGTTTCCACTAGATCTGTCCTTCGTTGTCTGGGCCCATTATTGTTATTAAAAGCAGAAAGCCTTTTGTTGTATTCTCACTTGTTACAAAATTTTGTCCTAATGTAAAAGACTGTTAAAACAAACTAAATTAAAAAATGTCAGTCCAATACAGTGTCTGTGAACTTGCATAATGATCAGTCCACTCTTTGTAATGTGAAAGTGCTTGTAAATGGAAGCATATGTAAACCAAAACTACTAATTTAGGTGTGAATATGCATCCTTGCTGCATGCAGAAAATACCTGCATAAGGTAGATGGATTTCCCGGCTACCCGAATGGAAGGCAACAAATGCGTCGTACGGCTGTGCCCGGCTCAAGTTCAGCAAGACGTGGGTTTCGGGCTCGGCTGCAACCATGATTAATAAAACAGCGGCATCGTTAAAATAAAAAAATGATGCAGTAATGAAAAAGAATTTCAACGCCACAGATTAGCATTTTGAAGGAACAAAGCGACATTGTAAATGAAAGCTGGAAAGAAAGAGGTAGTACAACTTTTGACTTATCAAACGCAAAAGTGCAGTTTAGATGGCTTAGACAGCACACACCTATAGAAAGCACTAGAAAATATTGTGAGCATTCATTACACCCATCATCTTCATCTGTGTATTACAATCATCATAATACATTTGTTTATGCAACCTCATCGTTGTTGTGTATCATCATCCTTGTTGTGGGTTCACCGTAGTAGTCAACTGTCAGTCCAAATTAACGCCTTCCAAACGAAAACTTCATATGTAGTGGAGCTGCGGAGTATGCAATATTGTTCTCAATACTGTTAGTAGAGTCGAACCTTGTTACAACGAAACTGACGGGGCGCTGAAAAAGTTTCGTTGGAGCGAGAATTTCGTTGTTGTGATATCCAAAAAATATAGCTGAGCTGAGCTAGCAAAACAAAAGAACGTTTATTCTCAAAATTCAAAAAGTGTCCGCTGCTTCCTATTCTTTTCAAGAAGCGTCACGATACGATTCTCACCCATGCATAGCCAGGCCATGGTAAAAAGCACGCTGAAACAACGCCCACAATCGCTTTAGTGAACAAACCAAACAGTTACATTAACAGGTTAAAGAATGAAAAGTCAACTTGCCGCTGGCAGGCACTGGACATGCAACCATCGAATTACACACTGAATGTTTTTACCATTTGAGCCACGGCAATGACCGTCTTCTCATTTGTTTTATCGGGCAGTTATGCGCACACGCACATATTAACCCGATAAGATACACGAAGGGACGACTAACGCAATAGCTCAAATGTGAGCGCATCACTCACATACTAGGAAGATTGCAGGTTCAGTCCCAGCTGGCAGCACATTGTCTTTTCATCGACATTAATTCCTCCACATAGGCATCCGAGTTGCTACCGTACACTTCACCTCCCCAGTACATCCCTCGGCTTCATTATTTGCAGGTTTTCATTAACATCCAGCGTGGCTATTCAATCACCCTCGTGGGTTTGAACCATGTTGTGGGGTTGTGGGGCAGGAACACAATTAATGAGGGAGAGTGACACATGCTGGTCCAAGAAAGGGTTACATCGCTACGGAATCAGAAACGGAAAAAAGTGAAGGATACTATTGACAGGGTACTTGAGAGGCAAATGCCGACTAGAGCAAACAAAAAAGGAGAGGGCTCAATGCCAAAGACACAGAATTGCAGCGCCCACGATCCATGTAGCCGAAGTCCTGCAATTTCGTACTAGGGACTTCGGCCTAGGCTACTATCAATGACAATCAGTAGGCTGCCTTTCATCTGCTGAAAGGATGTTAAGCCCTGCCACAGGTACTCTGCATGGTAACCTCTCTGAATTTTGAACTTTTAGGACATAATAGTAAGAATGATTATTGAGAACATGCAAGTTTTAACAATTATCTTATTGTCATCTTTAGTATTGGCACAAAGTAAAAGATGAAAATTTGTGTCAAACCCAGCGAAACCCACAAAAAATTATTGTGTTGCAATGTTTCAAGACAGTACGCTATTTGATACGTGATAAGTTTGTTTTCAACTGACGTATGTTTAGTTATGTTGTGTAAATAATAAAAGGTCCCGCTGCAGTTTTTCAACTGTGGGACTTCTTTCTCTATAGTTTTTTTTTTGTTAAGTAATACTGTGACAAACAATAAAGTTGAATGAACACTCACATGGTCGGTGTATTATGCACGTGAAGGTTCTCTTAATGATGCTATATTTTTACGTTTCTCTTTTTTGTTGTAGTTAACAGTGCCATTGCCAAATATATTCTGTAGAGGAAGCGAGGACACTATGCCTACCGTTTAAGTGCTTATCCAGGTCCCAGACAAAAAGAGAGCTCATCTTTGCCCCCGACGCCGTCTTGTCGAAGCAGTAGTCGCCCGTTCGCTCGGCATGGTTGAACCCATCGGGATTCACCAGGACTATGAGGTGTAGGTCGACTTTGGACAGGAGCTTTCGACTGACAGCCCCTTCAACGGTGTGACTCGGCGCCGAGAGTCCATTGAAGAGCTGCCGCAGGAAATGCAAGGCACTCTCGACGGTCACAAGCTCACCCCCACGCTGCCCGAACAGAAGTAGCGCGCGAACCTTGTAGCTTCGCAACTGCGGTGCCGAGTGCAACGTGCTGTCGGAGAAGTTTGCCAGCCTCACGACCAGCTGGGAGAGGCCGTTGCCCGATTTGAACCTGGGGCAAAGACAGTTGAACAACACCATCCAGGAAAGTCGTTCTACGAGATAAAAAATGAATGAATATGAACAGACATCACAATGGATGCACCATTGGAGAAGTACCGTTGTTGCAGGTACCGAATAGTCGCTTCATGAATGAATGCAGACGTGTTCAACAGAATCATTGTAGTCATTAGGTTATCTGGTCGCATCTTAAAAGCTTGCTAATATTGCAAGGAGAATGTATGAGAAAAAAAGGCAGAGGTAGCCACAAAGAGCATGCTATTGCACAAATTAAGCCTCTTATACGACACTGCCATGTATAATGAAAAAAAAAAACCTTCATTCTTTCAAATCAACGAACAGCGCAATTATAAAGTACAGCATAACACAAGGTATGACGATAAGACATAGGAAGCTCACCAAACTCTATAATGCAGGAAAATTGTCACAACATCAACACCTACGAAAAAGAAGCATAAACATGCCATCAGATGCCTTGACAATGGGACAACGGAAATAACTGAAGCGTACTAATGCTACCCTGCACTCGCAAACAACATTTTGCGATAGCTGCGAAGTAACAGCGGAGCAACTCTGTAAATTCGCGCCCTGGCTCACAGTCTGATATAAGCTGCAGCTTTTGTATAATTAGAAGCTATGCAATATCAGCATCAAATGAAATCCCAACAGCGGCAAGCCTTCGCGATGGTATAGTGCGTGCCGTCCAGTTATCACTACGAACAGGCACGCATATATGCGTAAAGCTGCTCAACAGGATGCGTGCGCCTGTCAATGGTGATAACTGGAGGTCACGCACTACATTATTTGCCGCTGTTCGGGTTCCATTCGACGATGATAGTACACTCCCACAGAAGACTTATTTCAGTTTCAAGCGTCTTTGTTTTCAACATTCGAGGTTGATTTAAAATGTTCGATATGAGATCATTCTCTCTGCGATTACGTGTTCAAGTTACACGCACTGGTAGAACTACCCGAGGCAACAACAAACGACAACCAGTTACACGGAATCGATGTGTAAATGCTGCGATGTGTCAGACCTTATAGGTAAACAGATGTGGAGTCCGGAGAAATTTTACTGTGCGATCCGGCGAATTCCGCATTAAGCCGCAATACGCAGGCGCTATGAAGCACTTGGAAGGGTACATAATAGCTGACGCTGAAGGGTAACGAGCCATACATAGGGCAACCATTACAATCTGGAGCAGGGCAAAGCGTTGTTACGGATGTAGCAAATGGGTTCTGCGTGAAAACGAATTTGCGATTAGCAGTCACCAAGCGATAAGCTTTCATTTGGAATAAAACTAACGATTGCACCTACTTTTCCTAAACATATGTAACGACACGAGAGAACGCTTCTTCGGGAAATCTGACAAGCATTACCTGTGATCAACTTGAACGTAGGTCGGGTAAGTTTCAGCCAAGGCGGCGACTTCGGCGTACACAGCGGATAGGTTGTGATAGACTGTGTAGTCAGGTCGGCTCTTCTCCAGTGCGAAACACCGAGACGCCCTGTACAAGAGGACCAGCGCAGCGACTAACGTGTAAGAGCTTAACAAAACACGCCATGTGTGAGCCTCAGCCATGGCTTTTTCATCAGTCTTGCGAACTACGCTACGTGAGCTTGCCGGCTACGTCAGTCGTGAGTTTCGGTCGCAGCGCTGTCGAAACGGCGAGACGAAGAAAACTCCTCATAATGATGGCCAACACGACAGTCCAAAGCCTGCGCGGATTCGCTCGTCTAGTTTCTGACAGGCAGACGATACGAGTTGCGTGACATGACGCGCATGATCGAAACAGGTGTCAATGCACAACCAAAATGCAGTAGCGCGCCATTTTGGTTTGCGTTCTCGCTGCCGATGGCGATCGGCAGCTATGATTTCTACTTTCGGTTTCGCTTGCGGGGACATTGGCATGCAGCGGCCGTCACACGGCAACACACAGGTGCAAGAGGGCACACACAAAGAAAATTGATGATGCCTGCAAGGTAGTGTGTTTTTGCAGTGTAAGCAAACAATAAATTGAAGTTGGTGATCAGAAACAATTTTATTATTATTACCATGGCTGCATGAAAAATATTCAACAATTCGTGCCTGTATGAAAAGAATAGATAAATTAGCGTGCTGTGCGGTGTGGACGACGTGAAAAATATTCATATGCGCCATGCTAGTTTCTGTTGAATAAAGCACTCATTTTTGTGAGTCTGCGGGTGATTTGTGGTAGTCTCCTTTCCTCAAAGCTGCATGCACTACCGGCAGTGTAATGAGAAAATATCTCTTTTTACAGTAGCGGGAAATCAGCATTGGTTGTGTGGAATCCATACTCAGCCATACATTTGTAAGGGAGCCACATTGACTTCTTGTAAAGGAACTGTGTATTAAACTGTTCTAGATTTGTTCCCGATGCTTTAGTTATTATTGAAAATGTACCTTTGCAAGATTAATTGAGCATTAGTTCTAACTAACAATTATAACTGCTTTTAAGCATGAATTCAACTATAGAATCACCATTTGAATAGCACCTGTAAATCGCGTACGTACACAATAAAGTTTTTCTAATTTTAAATCTTGAGCACTATGAATTCGTTCCGGAACACGTGCAAGTACGCTGTGGTTGCAAAAGCGATTATGTGATGCGCCACTTCTACATTCATTGCTGCGCTTCTCAATAAAAATTAGACCACCATGAAACTGCAGGTTCGTGCTAGCAATGTGCACGGGCAACAATTTCACAGCCCGGCCCACTCCTGATGTTTCTGTAGCACAAACTGCGTGCAACACAGGTCATGAATCGTAAGTCTGAGGATCCCCCCCCCCCCCATTTTAAATGTGGAGCATTTCTTAGTGGGCGGTGGTGTCGTACACAACTCTACTGCACATGCTCGTGTATTGCGCCTCGTGCCACATGCTCGCGTCTCGTGCCAGCCCACGCACGAAGACACCCACCAAACAAATTTTCACTCCCTTCTCTCGCCTTGCAAGGCCGACGCAAGCAGTGTCTGTCAGAACATCCATCCATTCATCCATCCATTCATTCCATTCCGTCCGTCCATCTATCCATCCATTCATCTGTGGCTGTAGCGGGTGCGGAAGGTGAGTGCGCGTATTACGCATGCACATATATTAAAATTGCTTATATTAAACCGAAATTTCGTATTCACGAAGAACTTATAAGGACAAGAAAACTATATATGAAGAGAATTTGAATTTTAGGGGAAGGTGTGGAGGCTTGAAGCGATGACGTACTGCGGAAAAGGAAATTCCGCTAAAGTCAAAAGTGTGAACGACCGGATGATGACAAGTCAACTTGTCGGTACTTTGTACTATACTCTCTTCGGCTATTTCTCATACCCATAAGAAAAACGCATTCGCTTGAATCGGTCTTCGGACTGACAGGCCTTCCCATCTGGGTTAACTCAAGTGGTTATAGTCTGTTGGTTAATATATTAACTGCAAGTGGGGTCATCCTGGCAATGTTGACTGGCGATTCCTACGCCTGTTCGTCTTCGCTTCTTGAGGGGTCTATACAACGCATGGCGCAAATGTTTTGAGTGTCTCGCGCCTCACACTCTTATTTTCGTATATATTTATTTATTCAAAATGCCTTACAGGCCCATTAAAGGGCACTGAGCAAGGAGGGCATCAATAAATAGATTGCAAACCAATAAATACAAAAAAGTCAGCTACGCTTCATTGTAGCGATACTTCTTCGAAACACTGTTGCGAGAGACAGAGTAGTTATGTGCAGGCACATGCGATAGTAACAGGGATGAACCTGAAAACTGAAACGTACGGGGTGTTTCGATTTAATGTCTGTAGATGGTGCTGGGATCGCGTTTACGAAGCAAGCTCTGCTCTTTTGCCCCGCTTAGACTTCGCTGTTATATCTGTGATATACAGCAGTGCGAGCAACAGCTTTTCCTGCAAAGCAAAAGATGAAAATCAATACCCATGACACGTGTACATTGTCTTCTGAAACCCGACGCACCAACGCAATTTCGCTGAGTAGCGTGGTGGTCGTCGGTCGAATGGCCATTGTGGCCGTCCTCGGTGATGGTGTAGCCTGCAGTGTAGTAGGCGAAAATAGACGTCGAAGAGTTATCTATCTGTCTTGGCCAACAACCCATTGTTTCTTAACGCGTCGCTCTGTTCGACGCGTGTCAGTGGTGCAAGGTCTAGCGTCCTTAAGGGTAATAAGAAAGGAAACGATGCATGAAGTCCGACCATTCGTATGATTGAGACAAGTGCGGGTGAATGTTCGTCCCTTCGCACATTCTGAGATGGCTTTGCTCGTAATATTACGCAACAAGGTGCATCTATGCTTTATTATTGGCCGAAATAAAAAGGCATCATGTAGCGGTGCGCCTTGAGAAGACACTGAGACTGTCTAGAGACTTGCTTGCATAGGTTGGCAACATTATGGAGCACCCTCAGACTCACTCATAAAGTGTATTTTGCACAGTGTTCAATCGGACTCAGGCTCACCAAATATTCCTGGGACGGACTTAGTCGGACTCACATTCAGGGAAATAATCTTCCGCCAGACTCACTCCGACGCAAGCTCACCAAAATATTACTCACGACGGACTCGCTCGAACTCAGACTCACGGCTCGATCCAAGTCTGAGTGAGTAAGAGCAAGTCCACTCAAGAGGTTGTTAGCCTATAGAATCATCTTGTTCGACCAGGGATGGTGTCAATTCTTTTAACACCAATATCTCACGTAATCGGTGCTCTTCTTGGCGCACTTTGATGTAGGAGTACGGGTTATCAGTGGTTGCAAACAGGTAAGAACATTTTTCTTGCAAGGTGCTGATAGATTAAGGCTGAAGATGAGTAGGAAGAACCGTAGGTCAGCAAAAAAAAATCTGGAACATGCTCACTCAACAAATCCGAGAGCCGTGAACAAATTATATATGAAAGGGTTAATAAATCATAACAAGTATTATTATGGTTTTATTTTTAAGTATTGTTTAATGCATTTGCATGCAATTCAACTGAGCCGCTAGAAAAAAATTGAATTCTCTCGTTCACAGCGACATTCTCAAAAGCGTCGCCGGCGATGTTGGCCATGTCAGCCATGTGCTCAGTGTTTACGCTATCCTCGGAGCTGTCATTCTTGGTTAACATGCCTGGCACGAAGGGAGAAATGCGCCGCGACAACGCTTCTTATCCGATCGGCACGAGAAGATGCAGTGGTTCCCTCGCACTCCGTCATGTCAGCCATATTGATCGTTTACTGTGTGACCCCAAGAGCGATAGTGGCTCCAGTGTCATCGCGACTTTGTGTGTGCAACAAGCTTTTCTTCTGATATTTAAAAAAAACTGCATATTAACCGTTCATCCTCAATTTCATCCACGTGGTAACATTTATTATAGGACAGCCACGGTTGTTTAGTGGCTAAGGTACTCGGCTGCTGACCCGCCGATTGCGGGATCGAATGCCGGATGCGGCGGCTGAATTTCCGAAGGAGGCGGAAATGCTGTAGGCCCGTGTGCTCAGATTTGGGCACACGTTAAAGAAACACAGGTGGTCGAAATTTTCGACGCCCTCCACTATGACGTCTCTCATAATCATATGGTGGTTTCGGGGCGTTAAACCCCACATAAAAATCAATGAACATTTATTATAACCCTCAGTATACATATTAAATTTTATACACATGCTGCAACTGTATTTTGTTCAGTCTAGTGTTAGCTACATCGCGATTGCTATATTTACAAATATTTCCGTGTAGCAGCACACGTCTCCTAATGTCATTCGAAATGTCGAATGACGATGTATGTATGTATGTATGTATGTATGTATGTATGTATGTATGTATGTATGTATGTATGTATGTATGTATGTATGTATGTATGTATGTATGTATGTATGTATGTATGTATGTATGTATGTATGTATGTATGTATGTATGTATGTTATGTATGTATGTATGTATGTATGTATGTATGTATGTATGTATGTATGCATGCATGCATGCATGCATGCATGTATGTATGTATGTATGTATGTATGTATGTATGTATGTATGTATGTATGTATGTATGTATGTATGTATGTATGTATGGATGGATGGATGGATGGATGGATGGATGGATGGATGGATGGATGGATGGATGGATGGATGGACGGATGAATGGATGGATGGATGGACGGATGGACAGATGGACGGATGGGCGGATGGACAGATGGACGGACGGGCGGACGGGCGGATGGGTGGATGTATGGATGGATGGATGCGGCTGTATCCTTTAGATCGGGCGGTGGCTAAAGCCACCAAGCCGTTATACTTAGTGAACCAAAAACTAGATTTTTTTTTCTCGCTTTAAATGGTGAGACTGAGGACTGGTACTTTGCAGTGAAGGGTTTAATTTTCCCTCGTGCCTTGACTTTAGCCACCAATCAGATAACCCCCTTCTAGTTAATTCTACCCGCTTAGAGTCTATTTCGCCCTCCCTGTCGCTAAACACCAATGCTTTCAAAAACTGGGCGCCATCATCCTGGACTATAGGGTGAAGCTCTTTACAGAACATTATCAAGTGTTCGGCAGTTTCCTCCTTCCCTCCACACGCACTGCATACCGTGTCTAACCCTCCGTGTTTGGCCCGATATGTCTTGGTTCGCAATACTCCCATCCTCGCCTCAAACAGTAGAGTACTACCCCGAGTATTATC